CCCACGTTATCTCTTCTGTTCGAAGTATGTGCATCGTGATCACTATTTTCTTCGTTGTAATCCATCATCATTCTTCTTCCGCCTTGTTCTCTGCTACTCAAAAGTATAGGAAGCACCCTGCATAAACACAAAGTTGGAGCTTCTTGAGTCAGCAGATTCCATACTGGAATGAGAGTTTTCCTTCTCAATTTTGATCCTTTCTCCTCTAATCTTCTTACTATTCTCTACCATTGCTGACTGCTATCACCCGAACTAATCCCACTCTTTCCACCCTAATACTTTGCTCTCTGTTTGTCCCAAGAATGAATGACCCGTTGGCTGTAGTTAAGGACTTGCTACTTCGATCCTCTTGTGTTATCCGAATCTACGTCAGCTGAATAAGCAAGCCCAACCCCATGACTAGACCCATCTATTGCAAAACCAACCATATTAATAACCGATCCAACCAAACCAAGACTATCTTGTTTGACATCTTGTTCCGGAAAATGCATTTGCTTAGCGTGCGAATTGGCTGCTTCCCGACAACACCCTCTTTAGAATTTTACTATTCTCCATACTCACAGAGTTATCATCCTTTACAAGACCTCTCCTTATCCTCCTCTTCCATATTCTCTTAAACCAAATCCCTTTGAAAAAGGAGAAGAACAAGTCTCAACCGATGAATTCGTCGGTTTATTATCAGCTTCTACAACACTAGCTAGTAGAATCAGAGACCAGTTTATCTCCAATTGTCTCAAGTTCACTAATCAAACCATTATCATCAACAGATTCAAGAGCAGAGCTTTCACTCTCCAATTCCATTATGCCACTAACAAAATCTCAATACCCTACTAATTGTTCATCCTCCAGATTCACATAGGATCAATATCAAGAGCTATAAACCATCATCATTCCAGTAGAAACCATAGCAAAAATCAATAAAATAAAACCCAAAAAAAACAAATTTAAACAAGCAATTATGATCATACGTCAAATTTTTAACTCATTTTTTCTTTCTAAAAATTTAAATATCCCAAATGTTCTTGTCGATTAATTACAATAGAGAGAGCTAATGATAGGGCAAAAATCAAATCCATTTTTAGAACCAACGTACCTAAATGGAATGCAAAAAACCCCCCAAAGGTGATTCCTTTACGGAGAGACAGACCCGAGAAACGAAATTAGAAGATGATTGAAAAACCCTAACTCGATTTACGATTCGCATATCTCTATATCCGTTGAATGTGGAAACTTTCGCTGCGAAAAATCGTTAATTTCTTCTTCTTC